TTCTTGGGGTTTTTTTTTTTTTTTTTTTTTTTTTTTTTTTGGCTAGGTTGTGGCGATGGGAAGCTGCTGAATTTAAACCCCAACGCTTGAAAATGACTTTGTTGGGGAGTGCCATTGTTTTTGCCTCGACGCCGTTCCCCCTTAGGTTGCGTGCCAGACTCAAGTGAACTGCCGCAGCTCCATTAGGCCATCTGTGGAGAGTATCGGGAGTAAACACAAGAACAATTGCTGTGTATTCGTAGGACAAACAACATAACCCAGCAATGCTCAAGTGCGGAGCACAAACAAGCGTGGGTAGTTGCTATTTTCATGTGAGAAGGAGAGAGAGAGAGAGAGAGAGAGAGAGAGAGAAGAAAAAAAAAATCTTTTAAATACCAGAAACATGAGTCCAAATGGAACTGCCTGCACCGGAAAACCCAAAGCTGTCATTATATTGTTGTTATGAACTAAGACGAATGTAGAGCAGCAGGGGATTCTGCTTTTAAGATTCATTCAATAAACATAATTGCGTTAAACTTAACAATGGTTTCTGTGTCTTTGTTTGTTTTTTTAAGTTTTAAACATCTGGCAGGAGCGAAAAAGACATTCTCCAGTTCAACATAAAACAGCAGCTGAAGTTTGCACCAATTTATCAGGTAGGCCATTTCTAGGAATGATTTTATCACTTTAAAAAAAAAGTTCTAGTCACATCAGGTTTTTGCATGCTTTTCTGAGAAAACACACACAACCTCAGATTTACATTTTCGCCACAGTTTTATAGGGTGAGAAAAAATAAGTTGATTTCTCTCCAGGATATTAATGCAACTCTCATCACTGACAGATAAATTATACAAATGAGGGGAAACAGCAGATCTCCTCATCCTGTATTTCATAAAAACAAGAGCTTAATAAAAACTGCAGTCCTCCTTAGATTCCTCCATAATAACCTAGCAGATTGCAACATTTATGAATATATATATATATATTTTGAAAGTCATCAAGCAAAAAGAACAAAAAGCAGATCTACTTTTTAAAAATTGAAGCGTCTTCTCGACAAGGTGATTCCTAAGCGTCTTTATTCTTAACATTTTCTACGTTTTATCAGGCTCCTGCAGCACAGTGGGAACCGTTTAAGGTTCAGTTTGCAGAATATACAATAAAAGCAGCTTTAACGGGTTTAATTTAGCGTTTTTTTCTGCCCCTCTGAGGATGAGTGTTATTTGGACACAGACAGAAACAGCCTCCGGGGTAAACATCCAGCAAAGCTCAGCGAGGGGCCACAGCTGTCCTCGACTGGAGCGTCTTCTCAAGTGCTTCGAGTGAAAGAGCCTCACACACGCACGCACACACAGAAAAGAGGACAGAGACAAGTGGCTGAGGAAAAAATATAAAAATTTCCCCCATAATGTTTAGCAGGCAAAGATGAAAGGGTGAAACAAAATCAAATAAAGGGATTCATTGTGTGAAGATTAAATAAACAGAACCAAATTGTTCCCTGCTGTTTGGCGAAGTCGATTTGCTGCAGTCGGCAGAATCTGAAGTTTTGTTTTTTATTCTCCTTAACTTTACCCCTGCTTGTTTTCATTTGACTCGACGATTAACCTACATGTGTCAGAATCCAGAACATCTTTTATTTGCAGGAGATTCCTCTGTGAAATGGGAATATTTGTTGTATGAGCATTATGGCTAACCACCCAGGGTGGCACATTCAGGGGGGTCACGAATACGTTGAGCATCATATGTATGTATATTAAAAAAATACAACTTGTCAAGTGGACCCAAATTTTTCATCACAGTTACCTATTGGCACTAAAGCTGACATCTGATTTGAAGATCTGAGCTGGATTCTTTACTCTTAAAGATTCCTTAAAGCACAATTTGAAGTTCATGAAATCTTTTTCTTAAGTTATGAAAAGGAAAAAAAAAAACATTCTCTACGCTTTTGTACCAGCTTAGATTGAGATATTGTTGATTACAGATCAGTAAAACCTGCTTATTTATAAGTTACTGTAAGGGGGTGGGTCCTTGTGGGGTGGGGTAGTGGGGGCTCAGAGGCATGCGGCTGCCCAAGGCGCCGTTTAAGCAACAGCCGCCACTGTCTCAGAGGAGGCAGGCTAACAGAGTGGGTCTCTGTTTCCAATCAAGTCTTTGGAATCAGGCGTTTCCTAATTAAAGCGGCCAGCAGGTGGATGCTGTGACATGATGCAGGATGAACATTTCTGTATTTGACTCACCTTCTCGGAGCTGATGCTCAGCTTCTTCTCCACTTGTTGATGGACTTCTCCGTTCCTGTCCGGTACCACCGGGACCGGAGTGAGCTCCCTGGGTGTCTCCTCCTGTTCCTGCTCCTGCTCAGCCACCTCCACCTCTTCCACCTCCTCCTCATTTTCCACCTCTGCCACCTTCACATCCCCGTTTTCTGTCCCGTCTGCCTCCGCGACCCCCTTCTCCACCACTACCTCCTTCTCCTCCTCCTCCGCCTCCTTCTCCTTTTCCACCGCCACCTCCTTGCCTTCCTCCTCCTCCTCCTCTAGAGGTAAGGGGAGCCCCTCGGAGACGTACTCCTTCAGACACTTCAAGTTGTGCTTCTTCAGCAGCTGCTCCGTCTCCGGGTCCACCACTATGAGCTCCAGCGGGCTCGCGGTGGCTCGTATCCGGGACACGACCTGCTGGTGACTCTCGCTCTCCACCTCGTCGCCGTTCACGAACACCAGCCGGTCTCCGGCGCGGAGCCCCGACGACTCGGCCGGGCTGTCGGGCTCCACCAGGCGGATGAACTGGCCCGTCTTCCCCTTCTCCCCGTGGAGGTGGAAGCCGTAGCCGTTGTCCCCCTTGTGCAGCGTGCAGAGCCGGGGGCGCAGATACTGGCTTTTGCTCGGCATGGTGAGCTTCTCTCTCCTTCCTTCACAGCGCGGCTCAACCTGTTGCTCCCTCTCAGTGGAAGTGACTGAGACTTCTCAGGATGCTGCTGGGGAGGGTGTGTTTGTTTTAGACTGAGCGGTATCCCTTAAAAACACCCGGCCCCCGTCCTGTCGGGGAGATAAGTCCGTGAGAGGGGCGGGGAGGGGGACAGAGAACCGCGCCGGTGAGTGTCCCACTCTCTACTCCTCACTTTCACACAAGTTGCTGCGAGGACGCCTGGTTCAGTCCAAACTCTGGCTCTTGCTGGGTCCTGGATCCGGGTCTGCCGATCAGAGCTGAGCCTGATTAAACTCACTCAGCTGTAAAGGCGTTTCGCTGCTGCTGCAGAAGTGGGAAAGCCACTCAGGAAGAGGGCGGTGCGTCCACGGAGCAGCCCAGCTGCTGCTTTATGCAAAAGGGGGGGACGAGTGGATGAGTGAATACAAACCGAGGCTATCCAGAAACAGTAGCGGTTCATGCATGAATGGCGCCCAGGGCGAGCCCTTCCTTTTCCGCCCCATTTATAAAATACAAACTTGTTTATAATTTAGTCAAGGTGTCGCCAGACAACGCAGCAGAGTATCTATCTATCTATCTATCTATCTATCTATCTATCTGCTTTTGTTTTTCTTTTGTCAAGCCATGAAACTCTTCTCCATAATATATTCAGCATATTAAATTTCCTTCACCTAAAGGACGAATTATACACGTTTACAGAGATCATTAACAAATAATCCGTTTGAAAATGGAGCCCATCACTAAATCTACCAAAGATAACAGTTTTTAAAGTATATAAAAACACTTTTAGTTGAAAACTTGGGATTCAGTGCACAATTAACTGAGATGATGCTTTTCCAAGCCAGCGTGGGGTTTAATGATTTTTTTTCTTTTTTTTAAACCCGGGGGTGAAAGTTTGAGTGCCTGTGTGTTTTGCCTCAGATTGCTTTGGTAATCATTCAGAAATATCCAGTTACATTAGAGTGAGCTAGCATTCAGAAAGGATCATTTCTGGGGGGAGGGGGTGCACATAGTGAGTTTCTCCACTTGTTCTCCTTTCAGATGGAGCTTCAGTGCTGTTTTCTTGTGCTTATCAACCGATTCCTTTTTAAAAAAACAAAAAACAAAAAACAAAAAAAAAACAGAAAAGAACAAAGAAATGCACCAACTAATTTCTGCATCTGCAGAGTGACTCATGCTATGGATGGATATGAGGGGGCGAGATGGGCAGCCGAATTCAGGTGTCAGAGAATCACACGTGTGTACTCCACCCACTGTAACTTCAAAAACAGGAAAAAAGAAAAGCAAAAAAAAAAAAAAGTAACACACTGCTAGCAAAAAATACCACAATAATAATAATAAAACAATTTTAAATTACTTTTACTATTAATTTCAGATTCAAAATTTTTATTATCTGTCCTGCGGTGGTAAATTTTTACTTATTGCGCACAGAGGAGAACAAGCAGGGAGCTGCTGCCACACTGTGGCCCATTAACCTCAACACACCCTGCCGTTCAGGGCGGACCCAGTGTTTCACCAGCACACGCGCGCACACGCGCACGCCCCCCCCCCCCCCCCCCACACCCACACCACCACACACACCCCCGCCTTC